TGAAATGAGTTTCTTGGTAGGTCGACCATCTGGATAATAAGTTGTTTCTGCTCACAAGTTCCATTCACCTGTGAGATACCTCACCTGCTGCTGCTCTGCTTCGCTACAACCGTCGGCTGGAAATCACAGCTATGAGTGTTTTGTGATAGAAAAAAGTCTTTGTAATCTTCTTCAGTACATAGAAAACAATATGGAACAACACGGAAGGACGGGAATGATCTGATGTTAGAATGAGCTAAGACATCCATATGTACATTGACTTACGAGAAAATCTGGCAAATCACTTAAAAAACAGTGAGAGCAAACAGTAGCTGTTTGTCCGATATTCCTTGAGGGCACAGGACGCACATGGTATGAGCTCAGAGGCTTAAGCTAAGGGTCTAAAATCTTCGAGGAATCTTATCGGTCTAAGCTCACAGTAAACAAAGGGTATAGATTACTTGACGCCAGAACAAACACTGTGGTTTTCTTTAAGTAAACAGATGAAATCTTTTTTCCTCTGAAAAGAAGATAAGAGGCAGAGCTGATGATATATATATACATATAAATATAGATTTATTTTAAATTCCTTAGTATTGATCAATGACCCAGGTGACACCTGCTAAAGAGAAAAGCTAAAAGTGGTTCTTTAATGAATAATGACATCAATGGTGGTGTAATACATATTAAACAGGCAGTCGCACATGTCAGCAGCACAGTACAGCTTGTACTTAAGCCTGTTATGTTGTTGGTTGTTGTTGTTAATATACAGCTGTAGCCACAGCCGTTCTCCTCACACTCATTCACCTCCATATTCTTCATGCTTCATCAATCTCAGTCTCAACAAGTCAACCACCGTCCTCATCACCAGTCTCTGGTCAAAGAGGGACGGCTAATAAGAACCGACAGTCATGTCTCCACTCACTCCTCTCCATGCGGCTGTGGTTTAGTGTCACAAGCCCAGTGTAATGCAGGATAAGAGAAAACTGCAAGTTTTGTTGTAATTTTGAATTTGTCTCAGGCAGATAAAGGACAAGGAGGTCATTCTAAACTGTGTCCAAGCAACGGAATGCACTCAGCTGCAAAAAAATCAGTGTCACATTTATTGCGGAATTGGCTCTGACAGCCCAACAGCAGGAAGCTGGTGAGAAAAAATCAGCAGCACAGTCAGCAGCAGCAAATCTCAGGTACAAACAAGGAATAATGGCCAATAACGGAGATGAAAGACAAAAAATGTCAAAAAATGTTGGAAATGTCCTGTGTTCATAATGTTCACAACATTAATGAGCCTCTAACTAAGTCATAGAAAATGTTGTCTAATTAAACAACTCACCTAAATCCTCTCAATCACTGAAAGACAAAGAACTTTTTGTTAATTAGCAAATTAAGAAATGACCCGTTGTTCAAAAGCCACTCAGTGGCCCTGGTTCACATAAGGAAATGCCTTTAACTTCAAAGATAGATAAAGAGATTTCAGCACCCTGGACAGCACCTTTGATGCCAAGACATCTATCTCTCTGTCTGTCTATCTATCTATCTATCTGTCTGTCTGTCTGTCTGTCCATCCATCCATCCATCCATCCATCCATCCATCCATCCATCCATCCGTCTATTACATTCAGACCTATGTTCTCTTCAAACCCAAACTGTGTGAAAAGTGCAAGAACATGTACTTCATTACGTGTTGTTTTTATATGAGAATTAACTGTAACTTTACTTTTACAGTGTATGACCATTATTCCATAACTCAATGACAAGTTCCTCATGATTCAGTAGGCCTTTACTTTTACAGTGTATGACCATTATCCCATAACTCAATGACAAGTTCTTCGTGATTCAGTAGGATTCAGTATTTGATTAAATTAGGGAAACATTTGATTAAATTCAAAAGAAGGGTGATTCAAATACCACTCTAATTATTATTTAATTAAATAAACAAGTCACAGTGTCCGTAGAAGACAACACACACATTCCTCCTGCCACCGTCAGCGCTGCTACGGAGTGGATGCTGTGAGAGAATTCATTGACTTTTTGGCACAACAGTAATAGTCAGGGCAATTATGGCCTTTGTTTATCACACAGTCAGAATGACATTCATATTTTGGACTCAGATGTGTGTGTGTGTGTGTGTTGTGAAAGCAGAGACTGCAGTGTAATGCAGTGCTACGTCACGGATGCCAATGAAAAGGTCATGATTTTAAAAACACATTTGGATCCTGTTGATATTTTCCACATAGCCATTAAAGTCTTTCGTTAATGTCAGTGTTCAGTTGGTCAAACTGATCTGTTTCTGTTGGTGGTGGAAAAAAAACACTTGAAATTCAGTAACTGACACTAGTGTGATGCTCATTGTACATGACTGGTGCCAAAACCTACACAACAAAGCGTGTCCTGACCCAGTTAAATGTGACTCATCACTTCATCTACATTACCAGCTGCCCAGCAGACGTGCTCTAATAGGTCACTGTTAGACAGGACAGAACATATGAACGATTTTAATGTGGTCAGAATGGTCTCTTTTGGGATCACTGGATAAGAATCTTTTTTGTTTTTAATTTTTATTAAAGGGCAAAATTTAAAAAAAAATGACCAATAGGAGGATGGCACCACAAATCTATTTGTTATACCTTCATAACCTTTAAAGACAAAATATTGAATTTGATCTCTGTTATAAATTGTAGGGTATATATATTTTTCAATTTTACATATCCAAGTTAATCCAAGTTTACATCCAAGTTCTTGTTATTAATTAAATGTATATATATTTTTCAATTTTACATATAATCCCAAGTTCTTGTTATTAATTAAACCCTGAAAATCTGTTTTTGTTTTTAAAGAAACCCATTTTTTTCTATATTGTGTTACAGGGCGTCTCTGATATTTTCCACCCCGGTGTGTGCTCCCTCCTAATGAACTGGATCTCCACGTCACCAAATACAAACCTCGGAGGTGGAGGCGTGTTTATTTTAGACAGCAATGAATAAAACATTAGTATTTGTACACGCTTTCCACAGTACACACATCATATAGAGCGTAGCGTCTGACACAACTCGCACACACACCAGCATCACACTGTATTCAACAGGCAGCCCTCCGCCTGTTGGCTTTATTGTAATTCCTGGAACAGTCCTTATCCACGTCACCACCTCCCTGCACCTTTTTTCTAGCTCCTTTCTGCACAGACCTTTACATTGGATGGGTCACCCCAGATCCATGAGGTCAACTGCCCTCACTACTGCTATTCCCTGGTCTTTGCTTCCACTGCTGCCGTAACCTTCTTCACACAAACCTGTCGTGTCCTGCTTCTTTACCCGTTTCTCTACATCTGATATTCACCATTGTAATGAACGTCGTGGTCCTCAGAGCCTCCTGCCTGAACTTAGCTAATCCCCTCTGTGTTGCCTCTTTACATATGCTGCACCGCCAGCTTGTACTTCTCTGCCGCATCTTAGTTTCTTGTACAGTAGCAAAGCTCCCACCACAGATTGCTAACACATGGTTTCTTCTAAGTTACAGCGACACAGTGCATTTTGTTAAGACCAAATCTGTTTATCCAGACTAGCGCTTTTCTTCCATTTTTACACAGTGAAAGGACAGTTTGATCGGTTGCTCCCAGCCTTGATACTTTTCCATCTGATCTGGGAGGAGGTATTTACCTTCCTTCTGTCCATCATGTCTGCCCTCTCTCTACCTTCACCATTCATTGTTCACTCTACAGTAGCCCAATTTCTGCTGGTGCCCTGGCGGTCAACAGCACAGGTCGATGACCGATCGATTCAGAGTGGAAGTAATTTTATTGATCCACATGTTTGTTTTGGTACAGGTTTTACCCTCCATGCCCCTCATGTCACAACCCTTAATGATTTACCTTGGCTACAGAATAGCAGTAAAAAGACTCGCAATGATTGTTGGTAGTTTTTATTTTTTGTTTTTAATTGTATTACATTATTTTGTTTAAATGACATCTGTTCACCTTAAAATACAACTTTGCTACATGCTGAGAAATGCGTTTGTCTCTGACAACAAACTGGCAGGAAGTGAGAGTGTCTCAGTGTGAAAAGTTACAAACAGGGTGAGACGGTCTTTAATGCAAGTCTTAGCATATTTTTATCGCTCTCTCTCTCTCGTTCCCTGCTTCCCTGTGGCTCTGCACTGCTCCGCGCTTGATATGTTAGAGCAGAGATTATCACAGGCTCACTCCGAGCAGGCTGACTGAGATGAGAGGAGCAGGAGTGACAGGAGGAAGAGCCCATGACGTATGAAAAAATAACAAGCACATAAATGCCAAATTGTCACGACAGGAAAAGTTTGAGTCTAGTTTGAGTCTATTTTTTATATAATGCCAGTGTGAGGATTTCCACGTCATGTCTGACTTGATGGATGACATGATTATAAACTGTTTTTTTTTATTTTGACAAAGGAATCCCAACAATAATAATAACACAATCTAAGAAGATATGGTCTTTTTTATTTTCCTGTTTTTTTTCAAACCTGCCATAGACGTACACATACATCAGCCTAGTCTATCGAACGTCAACTTACTTCCATGTGACCTCAGTCTGTCATCGTGAGCTGTACAGAAATGTTATAAATACATACATATATTATACATGTTTCTGCAGTTTGCACATTCTTCATTCTATTGCGCTTTCATGTTCCATGTTTGAAGCACTCTGTCACAGTATACACCTCCATCTGTGAACGTGTGTGGATATAAGAGACTTCCGTTTGTTATTTTTGCTGGTGTTGCATGTGGTTTATTTATAGGCACAGCTGTGGAGTTTGTGTTCATGCAATTAAAGAAGGGGCTGTGTATCAGTGCACACATGGAATGACACACACACACACAATAATAATAATAATAATAATAATAATAATAATAATAATAATGTGTTTTCTTTTGAGAGCACTTGGCAGCAGGAGTGAGTCATCCCTGTCACACCTCTGCCCTCATCACTAGAGAATGCAGGTTTGTCTCCTAAATTAAGTTTTTAATTAGATTTTTTCTGTTATCGTTTCAGTGTCCTGATGAGGGAAACCTAGGAAATGAACCTGAGCCTCAGCCCTAACCTCAGCCCTGAATGACTCAACCTCATTAAAATGCAAAGAAGCAATACCGTAGAAACATCACTAGACCCTGACCTGTGGAGTCTTTGCATTTCAGCAACTTCCCATTTCCATAGCTTCAGTTCTGACTCATGCAAAGACGGGGTTTTCCCTCAAACATCTCCATCTCCTCGGACATCTCTGTCCTGGTCGTCTGTCTGATAAGCATGGTGGGTGAGTGGGTGGTTGGCAGGTTTAAAATATCAGACTGACAGAGCCAGCTTTTGATCCCGTCCCTTCTGTTCGTCCCTCTCACCGCGGCTGCTGCGCACGGATGGATGGATAGATGGATGGATGGGTGCGCGGAGGCGCATCCTCTGATTGGCCAGACGCGCTCTCCCAGCAGGAGCGCTGCTCTCTCCACTTGTCGTTCCGATTCACACCCCCGTGAACACCGCTGTGTGCGCTGTGTCCAGCTCATCTCCGACTTAATCTCCTGCAATTTCCAACTGTCGACATGGACGCCACCATCTATCAGTTCATCCTGGGAGAGCTCGGGGACCTTAACTGTAGTTTGATAGACGCGTTCCAGGACACTTTTTTGGAAAACGCCACCTTATCACTGCTGGGTGCTGATGGTAAGAACTAAATGACCGTCTCTCTCTAATTGTGCAAATGTGTTTGGGTACGTGAAGGAGCGGGGAATCTGAACATCCACCTTTTATTTATTTATTTATTTTGATTTTGTGCTCGTTTTATTCAGGTTTATTTTGTAACGCAACGACTGATGAGATTGGGACCTGCTGGCCACGGACCATTACCGGCAGGATTGTGGAGAGACCCTGCCCTGAGTACATCAACGGGGTGAAGTACAACACAACCAGTAAGTTTATTTTAAAATGTTAATTTTTTAAAAATATTCTTACCAAATGCTACTAGTTTAACAGAAGGTTAAAAGCTTTGATGCACATGCAAAAACACAAAAAACTCCTCGACTACAAACCTCCAACTGTCCCTTTGCTTCATTGATCTTCCTTCAGTGTTCATTACACTTCTTCACTGGAGAACTTGTCGTAGGATGAGGCTGGAGAGGAGAAAAATGTCCCCCAGAAATCAATGTTTAACATTAAGTCCACACCAACAACAGGAAGTCCAACTACAGGTTATTTTAAATACATCATAATTATATATCTATGTGAAAATGCCATATTGATAGATCCAGTGTAGAAAGTTGGAAAATCAATACCAGAAAAGGGTAAGAGTAAGAGTTATTTACATCCTCAGCCTCATTGTCCACTTTATGTACATCACACCTGGATTCATTTATTGCTGGAATAATTATTTATGGTATTATACACTGTATATTTTATATAGTTCTGCAAAGAGCACAATACACTGTGCAATGGCCAATTCCTTTTTCTTTCCTGTTTATTTTTTCTCCTTTTTCTCTAAATATCTCTCAGAGGTTTCTTCTCTTGGTATAAACAGGAAAAAGTAAGATTTTCATTTCAACCATTGTGTTTTTTCACCGTGTGAGATTTAGCAGGAGGTTTTAGCGACATCACAGTGTCAGCTGCACAGAAATGACACAAATCCCATTTTCCAACACACCTGGCACATGTTGGATGTAGCTGGTGATTGTTTAGGCCATTCATTCAGGACTGAGGTGTCGATGATTAGCTCTTTGTGTCATGGCATGTTATCCTGCAGAAGACGGCTTCCACTGTGCCACAGTTTATGATAATGTGCAGAAGGGACCAGGCTTGTATGTTGCTGAGGTCACATGGTCACGTTGTGGCCTTATTGATCAGAAGAATTCTCCAATCTACTGTCATCACATATGGAATGTCAGATCTAAGTGAGTTGGTTTGATTCGTAGCCTCCGGTCGTCTGTTCTAATGACAGATGTGAGAGTTTGCTCATTGTGGTCATTTCCGTTCTTCAAAGGTTGGTGTTCTCAGAGATGCTCTTTCACATTCCTCTTGCATACCAAGTGGGTTTTTAAGAAACCGTTACCCTCTTATCAGCTGGAACCAGACGGACTGGACTATTCTCTGTAGAACACAGAGAACATTTTCAGTTAATTTATAAACCAAAACAACCAAACAAATACTCATACTCACTTTGTATTCCACAAATATATATTTTTTCATATTTAAATTCATTGAAAATTGCTTGTCGTTTATTTGGGGGGCGCTTGATTTACCCGCCCACCTGCTGAAAAACAATGCACTGTAAATCCTCTGTCTACAGTGAGCAGTTGAGCTGATGTACAGAAGTGAGGGGTCATGTGAGATTATACTGGATTCATGACAGATGTGCACGTGTAGGAGACGCAGGAGATGGAAAAGAACAAAATCCTCCGCCGCTTGTGTCCGATGTCGTAGCAATATAACTTTGATCCGTTCATATTTAAGTTCACAAGGTCATCCGTCATCACCGCTCTGTTAGCTCTAGATCTACATCCGAGAGCTTCTATAAGTCACTCTGAAAGTCAAACCTAAGTGTCAGTGGTGGTACCAGTGAGGTCGTCAAATTAATGATGAAATGGAGTTCCTATTAATATCCCTTTAGGAGGAATTACACTGTGACAGTTGGTTGTGGAAAATGGAGCAGGTGAGACATTAAGACCATTAAAATAAAACTACATTATATGTGCACACAGTAGTACTACACGTGTGAGACGAGTATTAAAAATAATAAAAAGGCAAAAGTCATTCAATTGACCTTGAGCAGTTGGAAAAAGGAAAAACCAGAATCAGCAGCTTTGGAGGAACTTTTCTGAGAAAAATCATTCCACACCAACACCTCTCTAACACCGGCCCCTGTTCTTAATTCTCACTATGACACATTTGTTGTCACACTGCGAAATGCATTGATCTCTAAACAACCGGTGTTTTTCACTGGGCATCATGTTCCAGGATGGCCGTGTGTGTGTGTGTGTGTGTGTGTGTGTGATTACTGGAGGCTGTTATCTACGTAATGGGCTCAGGTGCAGAGTCATTATCAAGTGTTGCCTCGTCTTCCAAACACACACACTCACACACACTCACTGTCTGCCTCTCACACACCCACAAACAAGTCAATGCTGCGTCTTAGTCATCCCTGTGTTGTTGCTCTGCAGCTTTGGTATGTCTCACAAACGCCAACACCAGAAACGGTACAACAGTTTTCAACCAAAGTTTATTCATTTACAGACAACGGGCAAAAGAAACAGGCTTTACCCAGAATTCCATGTGTCCCACACAGTACGTTATAATGTGTCCCATAAGACTCAGTTTGTCCGTCTGTTATAAATCGGTTTATACTCAGACCCAACCCATCAGAAAGACCGAAAGTTGATATTATTCTCTTAATATGACTGTATAAGACGGAGCTTTAGGTTTATATTTTTAGACATAAGCATCAATCCCGCTGCTGGAGTTTACAAGGAATAACAGATTCCCTTAAGTAAAGGATCCAAGTTTGGTCATTTATACTCTGTGCTGGAAATCGGCTGGTAATTTAATGGGGAAGTTAAAGGAACAAACTCTATTTTCCAATTTAACAGTGTGATATCAAAAAGTTATTTTTTTTTAAAAAATGGCAAATTCACAGGATGTCACAGATGGCAGACGAACAGTTGAGTTTTCGGAGAACAAGTGAGGATGGTGTTCCTAAAATTAAAGGGCTTGAGTGTCTCATTAACTCAAGGGTAGTGTGTGACAGAGTAAGTGGGCTTCTGCACAAAGGAAAGAACATAATTAACTTAATCACAGGGACTTCAAGAATGCTAATGCTGCCAATGCTGCACATTTTTGCAGGAATCTGAAGCTGCTCCAGATCAGGGATTATTCCATAGTGACCTGCTGGGGGAGTAATGACAAAGTCTTGAACGCGGCCACATTGAAGATTCATATGCGGTGCACGCTGGGGTGGATTTGCACCAAAACACTTATTGCTTTTGGAAAGGAAAACAATAAGCAGTAGGTCAGGGTGTGGCGCTCTGCTGTTGACTGCAGCAGGTGGACCAAGATCCCAGTTTTGATGAATTCAGTGGTGTTCTTGCAGATGTAAAAGTCTCATCTTATTTAATGAGACACTCACTATTTTCAGATGCAATTTTACAAGGGTCTAAATTATTATAAGATAGTTACTGATGAGCATAAGGTCAGGTATCTGTTTATTTATATGACAATGTGTTTATTGTTTGGACATAGTGTCTTGTTGGAACTGGTGGAATCAGGGTTTTTAATTGGAAGAAACGTGTGAACCTCTGTCTGTGTCGGGGCATCCATCAAATGGACAAATGTGGCCGTGTTGCATCATAAAGGGCTCCAGAGCTACGCTAATATTTTATTTACCTCCTGAACTGCAGTTCCTGGGACCTAAGCTTTGGTCCCATATCATATATTAGCCCTGTAAAAAAAAAAAAATTGGTGCCTTGACCACCGTGACAGAAAAATTGAATTTTATGTTATACATTTGTAAATGTGTGGACTGGACTGTGATCCTATTTCCAGTCCACTGGTACCTTTGGCAGAGGAGTTGGCTGTGACTCATGCTAACACATTTGTAGACTGGGGCTGAAAGCAGGGCTGTTAACAATAGTTCTTTTCTGAGAAAGTAGAGAGAGGAGGTAAGGACAACCTGAAATAGCACTTTCTGACATTCTGTCGATATTAAAGCAAGACCAAATGAGCCAGTTTCACAGATCGTTCCCATCTTCTTATGTGGTCTTTTGGATTCTTTGATGAAATTCACATTCACAAAATAGACAAAAACAAAGAACTTTGGTTTTGTAAGAGTTGAGGTTTGATTTAAAAAAAAACAAACAGCTATTTGGACTGATGGCCATATTTTCAGTTACTCATAAGTGGGGTCAAGTCATAGCACTCCTGAGCTAGTTCAGTAACAGCATAGAAACTCCTGCCTACACAAGTTTGGCACAAGTACTCATTTTAAAGATTTGTTTTGCTTCATTGGTGTGTAGCATATTAGTCTTGTACTTTTTTTTTGCATCTTGTTCTTGATGCAAAACATATTCTGCAAAAGATGCAGAATATAAAGGGGTTCAAAACCCCTTTATATTCTGCTGATCTATTATAACCTGAAAAAAAGAAGAAAAAAATGACACGAAATTGCCTTTCCAACGTTCCCTCGTCTCTTTGTCTTTGATGAAGGAGATGCAGTCTGCTAATCACACAAAGACAGACGTTTGTTAGAAAATGGATAAGGTCTGATTTCTATAATCACACTAATTCAAATCATTATTTTGAAAAAAAAAAGAAACAAAAACTGTCAGTGAATCCAAACATTTGCTTTATAATCCTATTTTTTTTCTGACACCATTGAAAAATATATTTCTTATTATATATATAATGAAAATAATTAAAAAGGTACAGAACAGTATGTACTAGCGTTGTCTACCTCTGAGGGTTCTCATTAAAAGCTGAGGTTTTCTGTAACGTTGGTGGAAAATGTTAAGTTTTCACAGAGTTAAGGAACCTGCTAAGGTAAAGAGCTATAAATCCCCTTCCATTTCTATAAACTCATAAATATTAACGTGTCCTCTGAGTTCCTTAAGAGGTTTATGCATTTTTTAAAACATTCCTTTGCGTTTTGTGTATTTTTTTGTCTCCAGTCTGTATGAGATGCTCATCAGCTCAGTTAGGGCAAAGGGATTTATGTGGGTCTGGAAATCCTTCATTGTCTTTGCTGTGTCGTTGTCAGGTGACGTCTTTTTTTTACAAACCTCAGGCAAGAAAAAATGTTCACACCAAAAGATAATTTTAAACACAGAATGATCAGGTTTTTTTTTAGTTTCATTCCGAACCCTTGTGTTGTGTGTGGTTTCTCGGTTCGACTCTAACACTTGCTGTAATTATAGCTAATCTCACCTCA